TATATTATATAATATATATATATATAATATATTATGTGTGTATATATATACACCACTCACAGACTGTATATATATACACATCTATATGAGATATTTATTCTAACGATATGCATACAGAGTATAGATAAGCTGGAAAGTTCTCGTCTTCACCTACTTAGAACACCTCGTTGCGTCATCTTTGACCACGTCGCTCATGACACAGGCCTGACAGTTTAGTTTTTCTTGCCTTAACTGCGACACAAAACATACGACTATGCGCGAAACGTCATAGGTTTATGCTGTACTAGAGTTTGTAGCTGTCAGAAGTTGACAGAGCGGTCATCATCTGCAAATCTCGCCTTCGCACCACAGACTGGTCAATGCCACAAGACACACTTGTTTCGCCGTTCGAAAATCTTTTGTAATAACAACAGGAGGAATCTAAAAAAAAAAAAAAAAAAAAAAATCTCGTACACCACACACATAGCACATGATTACCTAAATACTTTATAGGCATTGATAGCAATTATATACTATCAACAAAAAAGAAGACTGGAGTAAAGGCAAAAACTTTAGCATAATTCCATTTTTCTCTCTCACACCAACACAACACATAAAAGCGTTTTTTTTCTTAAACTATATTATTATTTTGTAATATTGTTATGATGACATGCAACGATGTCATAATATGAGAACTAGTCCGTGATATTTTAATCAGAACTGCACAATGATCTGACTACGATGTATGAGAACAGCAAAACCGACATCTATAAAGCCAGTAGACGACCAACGCACACACACACACACTCTCTCTCTCTCTCTCTCTCTTCTCTCTCCTCTCTCTCTCTCTTCTTCTCTCTCTCTCTCTCTCCTCTCATCTCTCTCTCTCTCTTCTCTTCTCTCTCTCTCTCTCCTTTTCCAAGTGGTGTTTTACCTCAAGGGAGCAAATGGCCTTCAAATAGACCAAGTGTTCCAACAGTCTAATTTCACCAAAGAGGTTCAGGGAGTACACAGAGATGGCATAAAAGTATATCAGATCATACTATTGTATCAATGTACATTTTGATATGATTATTTTCTGTTTCGTGAGGTAATTTACCTATAGCTTATAGCGTGGCAACATTATACATATTGAATAAGTGTTGATATTTTACGTCGCGGCTTTTCCTGTATCCCAGATAACGATTTAGTCGATATTTTTTTGTGTGATACCTCAAATGAGGTCCTGAAAAACTATGAGAATTTTCACATCGTAATGGCTCCTTCGGTCAAGCGTGGCCACTCCAAAATACTGTTTTTATTGCCCACTATACACGAAGTAAATCATTCGTAGAACCAGTACCCGATGACCTTCGTTTATGATCCTAAGACTAATTGATATTACTTTTTCGTGCTATATAGTGATCAGCACAAAGGGACGGCATGATACCATATTGGATCATTGTGTTCTGTGTGCAGTCTGAGCATCATTTGTGTTTGTGTATACGTGTATATGTGTGCGTGTGTGTATGTCTTCGTTTGTGTTTGTTTATACGTATATATATATGCGTGTGTATATGTCTTCGCTGAATATGGATAGAAAAAAAAACACACAAATCTCAAAATAGTTTTATATATAAAAAAAACACACGATAACGCTAACATACAACTAAAGCTACACTCCTCTCTATTGCAAGCCCTATTTTCTCCCGAGGTCGATGCCGAACATGGCCGCGATCAGCTTGGCCCACAGGTCGGGGTACTTCTCCGCCAGAAGACCCATTGCAGTGCTCATCTCGGCGGCTTCCTCTGGGGTGCACATGCTGGGGGGGCACGTGCCGAAGCTCCTCATGGTAGCCAGGGCACGCACTAAGGGGGAGAAAGATTGGTATTTGGTTCAGTTTATGATTAAAAAGGTATTTCGGTTTAAAGGAATTTTAGAGTTTGTTTCAGTTTAATAGAATGAAAAGATATTTAAGTTTAAGAGAAAAAGGTATTTGGTTTAGTGTAAGAGAATAAAAAGGTATTAAGTTCAGTTTAAGAGAATGAAAAAATATTTGGTTTAGTTTAAGTGAATTAAAAACTATTTGGTTCAGTTTAAGAATTAAAGACATTCAGTATAAGAATAAAATAGTACTTTTTCAGTTTTTTCAAGAAAAAAATTCAGTCTAAAGGAATAGAAAGAAGAGAATGAAATAGCATTAAATTCCCTTCATATTTAGAAAATTAGTTCATCCAAAAAAATAAGAAAAAAAATCCTTTTAGTTCAGTCTAAGACAAAAATAGTTCAGTTAACGATAAAAAAACATAGTTAATTTGAGATAATTAAGAGAGTATAAAAACATTCAGTAAAGTTGATAAAATGCACTGATTTTAGAGAATAAAACAAAAAATTTAGTTCAGCTTAAGATGAAAAAAAACATTTAGTTCAGTTTAAGACAGAGAGAGAGAGAGGGAACGTCAGTTTCAATTTATGAATAAAAAAGGATAGTATTTGTCCGTTTAAGAAAGAAAGCAGTTTAGGAGGAAACAAAAAACATTTACCCCAGTTTAAGAGAAAAAAAATTACTTCATTTAAGAGAAAAAAAATGTTTAGTTTAAGAGAAAAAAACACATTTAGTTCAAGAAAAAAACATTAGTTCAGTTTAAGAGAAATAAAAACATTTAGGTTCATTTTAAGAGAAAAAAAAACATTTAGTTCAGTTTAAGAGAAAAAAAGGCATTTGATTCAGTTTAAGGGAAAAATTGATTCGTCTTAAAAAACATTTAGTTCAGTTTGAGAAAAAAAATTTCAGTTCAGTTTAAGAAAATAATAATAATTCAGTTTAAGAGCTCAGCACTTGTGTTAAAGCTTTCCTTGGAATTGGAAAACAAATTGAGTGACACATTGATATACTTTATAAAAAACAAATGAAAAATTGTAGTTAATTGAGGAAACAGATGGATTTGAGAAAGACCTTTATGAGAAAAAATTGTAAATTGTGAAACTTTTTTAACGATTCAACTTGACCGATATAGCCATCCGACTTGCAATAATTGGAAAAAATTATAAATCAAATATGCTTATTTTCTAAAAAAAACGTTTACCACTAAACAGAATCAACCTATTTATCTTTTATCTCCGTACAAGTATACAATCTTTCTCTTTTCACCATGCAAACCATTAAACCATAAATCTACTTATCTTTTTCATCACAATGGAGATATAAATTCCCCTTTTCATCATGCAAATCATTAAATTTAATTAAACTATTTATCTCCATATAAGTATAATCTCTCCCTCTTTTCACCATGCATTAAACTCAACCAATCTACATTTTTTCCTCACAATAGATAAATAAATTCTCCCTCTTTCCCTCATGCAAATCGTCCTCACCTCTCATCTTCTCCTCCTCCGGGGAACACTTCTTCTTGCCGAGGAAACAGTCGACGATGGACTCCACTGTCTTTCGGTCGCTAAAGGCGTTTATGAGCGCCGTCTGCCTCGCTGACGAAGGGGCCGAGAGCGCCGCCCCGACGAGGAGCAGCACCAAGGCCATCGAGGTGATTCTCATATTGGCGTTTCTGTGGAGAAACTATGAACAAAGTCTGTCAGTTCCTGTGGGGAGGTATTCATTGCGAATGGCGTCTGGTTTTTAGTTTTATTTATTTCATTGTTGTTTATGATATATATGCATATAAAAGATTTAGTGCTTGGTAAAGATGTGAACGCAGTTTGAGTAATATAAGGTCAGTGATATTTCCTCCGCTCACGTCCGGAGAATTTAAGCATAGCAAAGTCTAGGGACATAATCGCCGATATTCGCTTTATATCAATCTATTCATCCTCAACAGCATCTTAATTTCATGATTTTACTCTTACATTGGTCTTTCAGCTGATAAAGAAATTGATATAACTTGTTTTTCACCTTTCATTTCCCTCGGCAAGTCTGTGATAGAGGTGAAAGAAGTCAAACCAGATGGACTACTGAAAGTGGGGCGACATTTGCACGACACCACAGGCTAACAGAGCAAATTCTTTATAAGGGATGATGGTCGACCAGGAAAATCACATAAGAATATTCTGTTCATAACTCTACACATTACTTCAATATCATTATTATTACAATCACCATCGCTGTCGTTATCGCCACGGCAATGATCACAGTGGATGCTTGTAAGTAAACTGCTTCAAGCTATAAACACTGGAGTCACTTTCTGTTATTCAGTCACAGAGCACAGCCGAAACCTTTCAGCGAGAAGAAAAAAAAATAGACAGTAACCCACATTCGTAAACTTACAGTTCAGTGAAACCAAAAACAAGTGCGCGGACGAATAAGAACGGAGCCTTCCAGTCGAACGTCTTGCCTCACAGCTCACCTGTTGTCTAGTAGCGAGGTCAGCGAGTGCGGCCGTTCTATATATACATGTCCATTCACGTGTCCCGCTGGCTCCGCCCCCTAATCCTAGGTGCTCGCTAAGCTCCTAGGACCGCCCACTTATATCCTCTTTCTCCTACCATCGCTGCCATCTTCAGTCGCCCTCAACGCCGTAGCTAATCAGCGTATACTACTTGGCGGATTAGGACCTGCAAGTGCGTTGAAATTCCCGGGGATGTAGACCTTGCTGTGCATTCGGGGGTTGACGAAATTTCAGCTTTTTGCTATCAAACGTCCTTGAACGAACATACACACCCAAGCACACTGAGACTCACGCACACATACGCCCACACACACACACACACACCGAAACCCACGAACACACACACAATAAACATTTGTTTATTCATATCTTACCACAGCAAACATACCAATGTCGTTTTCCGCAAGCGCTATGGATTGCTCTAACCCTTCTTCACAACCGAATGCCACATGCTGACTGCGTGATTTATAGCTGTGCGAGATGACAGGCAGATTCCCTGCGGGGAGCTAAGGAGCAACACCTCGCTTCTTGGAGGAGTAGCCTTAATCTATCATAACTCTTAAACAAAGGAATGAAGGCATGTACTATATGCATTTATACATGTCATATTTTTACGTACATATTTATGTGTACCTATGTGT